TTTGGCTGAAATGAAAGTTAAGCTTCATAACTGGATGTTTTATTTAATCTTTAAGTCTTACTTGAAAAGCTTACAGTTTATATTTTGAACTGAATATTTCACCTGTCACATCCCCTGATGGAAAATGTGCCGTTCTTACTTTGCAGACTCTGAATTAAACATTAAAAATATTTTTAATTGAGGAGGAAACATTTTCACTGGGAGTGGAAACAGCATATTAATATGTGATGATCCTGAAGGCAGCTCCAGAGATAATCAAATTATGTTTTAAATATTTGTTCAATTGTCTTCCAAACCCCATTAGCCTATTGTAAGTTTTGAGTGTCTACTAAAATAATAATAAAAGCATTCTAACATGAGACCTGTTTGTTACCATCGTGCCTTATTAGACATTATGAAACAAATCATATGTAAAAGTGAATTTTGCCAAAGTGCTTAAAATACTTCTTTTTTTAAATTATCTTTCTATACTATCTGAAATCTACTACATCATGTTTACCTTTTTATACTATGTCTAATTTCCATTGCAAATATTAATCGCAGTTAAATTAAGAGGGGATGGCAGTAAAAACTGGCGCTGAGATGATCAAGGACGTTCTCGGGAAGTCCAGATTCCCGCGTGAACTTACGAAGTACGGACTAGTAAGAACGCGAGTACGGACTTGCGTACTTGAGTATTGAGAAACAGCCAGATTCGGACAATAGGAACACATTTTACGACAGCAGTAATTGCTTTCCGGCAGAAGTAGGTTACAAAAAGGTGCGCGTTTCTAGGGAGATAGATAGGGAATGGTCCTTTGAGGAAGATGTAGAAGACGCGGGTTTCTCAGGTAAATAATCAGCTTGTTTGGCATTACCTCGCTGTTACCGAATAGTATCAATTCTCTCGTAAGGATCTCGAAGGATAGCTTGTGGGAGCAAGTATGTGCAAGTGCGTTCAAACAAGCTAAACATTAATACCCAGTTGTTAGCTTAAATAGCTAAAGACAAGCCATTAAATTTCTATTTTAATGGCTAGATTTAGGTAGTGAGACTAGTTGGCTTAGCAGGCCAGTTCCGACGTAGCCAATGAGTAAATTAAATGAAAGTAACGTTAGCTAGCTCGAGCTAAGTTATCATCTTATCGGTTAGTTTACGTACTACTTCGCTTCTGACATTAGCCTAAGAGGAACTGTTAAAACCGTCGAATTTGTAAAGGTTTGGGGTTGGAGATGACCCTTTTATTTATCTGTAATGTTTTGAAGCTGTGCTGTCGGGCTCACGGTTAGTCACCTGCGATCTGTGTCATCATAAATGAGTTGGTACGAACTTTAACCACGGTGTCAACGTCGCATATGGGAATTATTCAGCATGACTGTAGTAAACTTCTTTTAACTTTCGTTTCTTTGGGAAAGCATGAGAGAGAAGAGAGATAGATGCAAGTATGGTGAAAGACTCCTGTGGTTCGTATGATGGAAGGACTGGGAAAGGAGAGATCAACCTGTGGCGCTAGATCCTTCCCATGGCTCGCTCACACCGAAACAGAGGCTTCAACCCTGCTATGGAAGCTCAAGGACTGCTTCTCCGCACATGAAACAAGCTCCCCTCATCAGACAGACAAAGTATGTATTTATCAGTACAGACATATGGAGCTTATTGAAGAAACTGAACAGTTTTCTAAATGAGAGATTAAAATGAAAATATTTCAGGTATGTTATCAAACCATTAATGTAAACTAATTTTTTATTTTTTATTTTGCTGCGCAGTGTTATTTACCCCCTTACTGAGTACTAGAAAAAATAGTTGTCACACTTAAATGTTTCAGATCTATCAAATTTTAATATTGGATAAAGATTACAGTAAATACAAAATGCAATGTTTAAAATGAGGAGTTAATTTATTAAGTGAGGGAAGAGGTAGCTAACCTACCAGGCCCTATGTGCCACCCTTGCCAGCAAGAGCAGCAGTAAAGTTTGTGGATAACACTTTACTGGGAATGAGATGCATCACTGTGGAGAAATTTTGTCCCACTCTTCTGTAGCAGAATTGTTTTAATTCAACCATTGGTGGCTGTTTAAGGTCATGCCAAAAAAATCTAAATTAAATTTAAATATAGGCTTTGTATAGCCCACTCCAAAACCTTTGAGCCATTTAGAGGTGGATTCACTACTGTGTTCTGGATCGTTGTCCTGTTGCATAAAACAAGTAAACTTGAACTTCAGAGCACAAACTGATTGGGGGACATTCTCATTCAGGACTTTCTGTCAGTTACATCTAGTCATCCATGTCCTGAAACAGCAAATAAGCCCTGGGCCATCACACCTTTGATATGATCCTTTTTTATAAAATGCTGATAGTTTTATGTGTGCTGTAACTTTAACTGATACAAGTGAGGCCTGCAGTTTTTTATTTTATTTTATACTGGAGTTCCAAACCCTTATAAATAGCTTTGTAATCCTTTACACTGATAGATGTCAGTTACTCGAGAACAGATGAGAAAAAGTATTTTTAGAATGTGGCATAACATGTTGCCTTTTCAGATCTAGTTTCTTACTTCGCTTTGTCGGACATCCTCTATTTGAAGAATTTGCCAATTCATCTGACCTGAGAATAATCAGGCATGACTCTGGCTAGTGAAACTGAATTCAGCTTTCCAAAATATGTGGTTAATCAGTTAATTTAAGAAGGGGGGGGGGGCAGTTGCCTCTTCACATAGGGCCTGGTAGTGTTAGATAACCTTTTTTTTTTCTCTGAATAAAAATAATCATTTAAAAAGTTCATCTTGTCTTTTTCCAATAATAACATTTGCTTGTTGATCTTTTTTAGATGTTTTTTTTTAAAAATATCGTAATCTTTATTTATATTTTTTAATTCATATAGATATGTCTTTATTATGGCTTTGAGAAGTCACAAGAAATTTACAGAACTAATGTGAAGTGATTTTGTTTTTTCTTCTTTTCTTATTCAGAGCAATCACATGGACAACAGAAAGGCTGTACTGGATCTGAAAGATGTCCCTCCTCCACCACTGCACCATACTTCCTCTTCCCAGTTATCCCAGCCCTTCTCTCTGTCCTCTCTCCCATTGCCTCCTCCCTGCTTGCCGCCACCTCCCCCTCAGCTTGCACAAGACTCCTTCCAACAACCGCCACCACCTCATCAGCAACAAGAGGGGGCTAGCCCCAAAGTAAGCATTTGCGAGCACTGTGACCACAACAACACAGATGGCTTTGGGTTGTTGGGTGGCAGAGGTGTTGTTGGTAGCGGCAGCAATGCTGCAGGAGTTGTTTCGCTTTATATGGCCCCAGGGTCTCTGGGAGCACCGATCAGTACTAGTAGGTCTGGGCCTTGTTCTGTAGCCTCATCTGTTCATCAGTATAAACATAAATTTAGCTGTGGCACTGGAGGTGAAGCTTTTGATCCTTTATTCAGTCTTAGTTGCAAACCTCAGCTGTCCTCTTCTGTTGCTACCTCTCAACCTATTTCATCACACCCCTACCTCCCCTGCTGCTCAGGGCTTCTCCACACCTACCCAGCTGTACCTCTTTCTTTCAGTCAAGCCAGCCTCTTTCCCTCTTCAGCACCGATGGCATCCTCTCTCCCCTCTGTTTCCTCTCTACCTGCTAGCTTGCATGGCTCTTGCCTGACCTCTTCTGGCTTTTACACATGTGGTGTGGACTGCAGCGCGTCAGCCAGAAGATCCCAAGGAAGTATACTCGGTGGTCACCCAAGCACCAGCACCATCACTACTACAGCCACTTCAGCACACTTCTTCTCTAATCCTATGCACCTAAATGTTGAACGCACTGTTTGTGTGAAGGGGGCACACTACTGTCAGGAGTGCTTATTTAAGGTTGGTTGATCTCTCTTCATTAAATTTGTGTGGCCTAAAGATGCAGGTATTTTTTTACAAAATGTTGAGCTGAATCATGTGTGTTTAAGCTTTTATCGCTTTTCATATTTCTTGTTATTGCTTTTTTGTGTGTTTGAGCGTCTTGAATTTGTACCCTTTTGCAGCCTATGAATGGTCTGATGGCAGAGTCCGACAAGGTGCACCCAAGTGTTCCTATTCCTCAGACTGCTCCTATTCCTATTCCTATTTGTAATGGCTGTGGCACCTTCTCCGATGGCAAAATGCTCATGCCATCAACCAGTCTTGGCAAGACTGGACAGAAATATGGTTAGTGGAGTCAGTAATGCAGCAGTACAAATCGGCAACAAAACTGAACTGATTTTATTAACTATAAACTTCCAAGAAACCTGAGTGTGCTTTAAAATGATCGCTTTGCTAGGATCACCAGAAGGTACTGGTCCCGAGAACATCCCTCCGGTCGGGGTCTTTTGGGACATTGAGAACTGCAGTGTCCCCAGTGGACGCTCTGCTGGAGCTGTGGTCCAACGAATTCGCAACCGCTTCTTCCAGGGTCATCGTGAGGCAGAATTCATTTGCGTTTGTGATATTAGCAAGGAGAGTAAAGCTGTCATCCAAGAGCTCAACAACTGCCAGGTATCAGTAATATTCAAGCAATAAAAGCAGTCTGAAATTACCCTAATTATGACAATACAAATACTGAGTTCTCTTCATGCTGGTAATTGGTTCTATAACATTAAGTATAGCTTGTCCTGAAGAGGTTAAAAAAAAGTTGTGCGTTCAGTATTTTTAGCTTGACTGATCAGCTTGTGATTTTTGTCTTAACACATCACACACTTTTAAAATATCCATACAGTTTGTTGAGTGTGTATTCAGTCACTGCCTAAAAGAAGGAATAATTCAGACGCTTAATAATTGTACGTTTACAGGTTACTGTTGCACATATTAATGCCACAGCCAAGAATGCTGCAGATGACAAACTTCGTCAGAGCCTACGGCGCTTTGCTGAGACGCACACTGCACCTGCAACTGTTGTACTGGTATCCTGTAAGTTCACCTCTGATTACCTGTAATGAACTACAGCCATGTTACCACACATACATTTGTGATAACACAGGTCACCTTTTTATTAACAGCTGATGTGAATTTTGCAAGCGAGTTGAGCGACCTGCGTCATCGCCATGGTTTCCATGTAATCCTGGTTCATGGCAGCCATACATCTTCAGCTCTACTGCAGCATGCCAACAGCCATGTGCCCTTTCAGGAGATAACAGCAGATCTGCCACCACGCATGCTTGTCAAAGCGCAGGTAGGCCTCATAAATGCTTCATTAAAATTTTAAGAGTACTTTTTAAACGGTCCTTTTATTAAGGTAAGTATACGCTAACAAAATTAACGAAGGACAAAATCTCGTTTTAATGTAAACTTGCCAAATGTGAAGAGCGATGCAGCTGGAATGTGAATTTCACACACGATTGAGTTACTAATCTAATAGTGGGAATTGGAAATCATTAATTGTTGCTAATCGTTAATATTGTCGGCCATTCCCACTTGTTTTTTCCCAAGTAAAAATAAATAAACGTTTTATTTTCTGAGTGTAAATAATACAAACCAGACAGCCGCGGTGTCTTTTCCTCCCCTCCTTCAGCCCAGTTTCAACCACCTCTATGTGCACAACCTCCCTCTCAACTGTGACAAGAACATGCGGAACGCTGTGAAGCTCAGGCTCCGCCGGCTGTCAGACAACTGTGGCGGCAGAGTACTTGGTGTGTCCCAGGGCACAGCAGTCCTCCGCTTTGGCAGCCCTGAGGCAGCTACACGTGCCCGCAAGCGAATGGAAAATGAGGATGTGTTTGGCCACAGAATCAGCCTCTCCTTCTCCCCGCGGCCCAGAGACGATGCAAGTCCTGAGTCTGAGCTTCGTTCTCAGCCCCATCACTTGCCTCAGACTCTGGCCCGGACCTCTCAAACCCAGGATTCAATGTTCGGCCCTCCCCCATCTATAGCCTCCTTCTCTTTTCTGCCCCTGGAGACACCCAGGTCACCCAGAAGGCCACGGCGAGCAACCCGCCCCTGCCACACCCCTGGTCCGGTGGCTGAAAGGCCCTATAGCCCCAGGAGGGGTTGCAGTGGGCCTCCCGGTGGTGCTCCAGCCAAGCCCCATCAGGTCAGCAGACTCATCTGTGCCTGCTTCCCCTCAGCCTCCATTGCCATCTCTCTTTGTCTGGGCTGCTTTGTAAATCACTGTAGCTTCTCCTCCCCCCCAGTGACCTTCTAATTGCTGCTTTGACTAACAGCTTGTAACTGTTAGCTCCTGCCTTTTGCCTGCGCATGTAATATGTGTTGCTTGTCCTTCATTAATCCACTCCTCTCCTGCTCGTCAGTCATGGTGTTATTGCATGAACGCCATATAGCTTTGTGTCTGTGGTTTTGCTCAGTATATCAGTGCTGATGTAGTTTGTGAGCTACCATTTTGTGTGTTTTGTCCAGGTTCTGCTTTATGTGCTGCTATAAGCGCTTTCTTTTCTTTTCTATTTTTCAAATTAATGAATTTACTTTTGGAGAAATTTGGACAGTGCTGATTTCTACTATGATTAAAAATGACCTCTAGTGGCTGATTCGGTTTGTCTTTTTCTGGTTTGTTTGTAACCAGTGTGACAAATGGGGGGGGAGCTGACCCATGAATTAACTGGGATGGACATTTAAGTCTCTTTGTAGTTAAACAGTAAGGAGAAAATGTAATTTAAGATTTCTCTTTAAGCACCAAAATTGAATGAAGACATTAAAGCCTAGGTTTTTTGTTGTTGTTTTGTTGTTAGTTTTTTTTGTTGTTTGTTTTTTTATATAAAGCCTTAGAGGTTTTTATATTTGAGGCTCACAATAAAACAAACGCAATGGGACTACCACAGTATTTTCAGTGTGCTGTTCTCATTGCTGCGAGGGCAAGTAGCAGAAAAGTTTGCACTGGCTCAGTATTCCTTTTATATCAGAGCAATTTACAGTGTTACACCCTTTAATGCAGTCAAGTTAATTAAAAAAATACAAGTTGTCCTTGGCTCAGTATGGGCCCTTCGTGAGTTTAGAACATAAGCAAGCACAGTTACGTAGTTACGTTACTTAACTGACGTCTATGAAATTTCTGTTTGATAAACAAAAATATATTGTAATCTGGAGAAAAATAATAAAAAATGTCTAAAATATTTGATCATAGTCCTGGAGATTTTCTTTGGTGCCAATCTAAAACCTTTTTGTTAATTATAAATTATTATTATTGCTTTTAATATGTAAGAAATTCCATGAAAATGAGCTCTACGGTAAAGCAGTTTTTCCTTTCTTTGGCATTTTGAATGTACATCCCTAGTTAAACAGCAGTCCATGGTCTTTTCTGAGTTTCTCTGTTCTGCTTGTATTCGTATTTTGTAACTACTTGAACTAATCACTTGACCATCCTGTTCCACACATGGACAGGATGGATACGACCATTATCTAGCAGGTCAATATCTACAACTTAACTTCTGCCTTCCCTGCTTGATCCAGGAGCTGGGCAGTTTGGAGGGGAAGGCCAGAATGAACTTTCAGCACTTGGAAAAGGGATGTGCTGCCTCGTCTTCGACCCAGAATAATGGTGAGGCTGGAGCACTGGAGCAACTAACTAAGCCTGGTCTCACTGTAGAATCCATCTACAGCCAGAGGTACACACAGAGATGGCGGGAATAAATTTTCAACTGAAAATAAAATGTTTGTCATGTTTGCGTCATGTTGTTTATCTGCATGTGCCTGTTGTTCATCTTTCTGTATAGCAGAGAGGACTCCAGCCCTCAAAGTACAACTGAATCCCCTGTTGACCAAGTGGACAGGAACTCAGGGGAGTTCCAGATTAGCACACCCTCCGCCTTCAGCAAGTTGAACCTACACAGAAGCTTCAGCCCCCTCGTCTTATCTCAGGGCTCCTGGTCTTCCAGGTTACCTCCTGCTGCATGCAAATTATAAACCATGCGTAATGATAAATGTAATTTTAATTATGTTTTTATTGCATCTCTCCATTCTCTAACATAAGGAGTGCATCCCCTTGCCTATCCAGCCGTTCCTCACCTCTGATTGCTGCCCCTCGTAGCCCTTGTTCTGAAGCTTCTGAGCCTTTCTCAGAGGGAGCAGAGATCCAGGTTGCCAACCTGGACTACAGAATGTCTCGCAAGGATCTGCAGCAAACTTTAAATGACACCTTCTCCCGATACGGAAGGGTAAAGCGTAGTCAAATTATGCCAATATTTCATGCAATGCATATCTGTGTTCTGCTCACATCTAAGTAGTTTGTATATGTTTTACCTACCCTTTCCTCTCAAAATCACTTTGTGGTATAACTTGTTTTGTTTAGGTAAAAAGTGTGGAGCTTAGCCCCCACACTGACTACCAGCTGAAGGCCACAATTCAGATGATGTCCCTGCAGCAGGCCATTAGTGCAGTCAGCGGCCTACACCGTTACAAGATCGGAGGCAAACGCATTCAGGTGTCTCTGATCACCGGTGGCAGCAACAAATCTCTTGCCATGCTCGGGTACAGTTTATATATATTTTAGTTTGGAGCTTTAATATGTTGGTTACATTGTGAAATTTAAAAATTTAAATTGTTGTTTGGTCTATCGTGGTGACATTTGTGGTTGTTATTTTATAGCCCAGAGATAATCTCCATTCTTCAAGATGCTCCTGCCAGTTGCCTTCCTCTTTTCAAGTTCACTGAGATTTATGAGAAAAAGTCAGTATCTTTCTAAACTCGTTATTGTCTAATTTTTGCATACACATTTGGTGTTTGAGTATAGCATTCAAAAAATGAGATGGCAAAAAAATGTAGTAAAAGTATATACTCCAACTCTGCCCTGCTCTCTCCAGATATTCCCGTAAGCTCGTGGTTGGCGATCTGTATCGGCTCCCAGAGCTGGTTGCAGTGCGGGAGCAGGGAGGCTCAAGGTTTGTGTGCCTTCTGTCCAACAGCCAAATACGTCAGAGTCCACTGGGATCTTCCCAATCCCAGGAGGGCTCCTCCTCAGCAAGTGGGAGTCCTGTTGTGTTTGAGGAGTTGGAGTACCATGAACCTGTCTGCAGACAGCACTATTCACTGCAGGACTTCAGGTATACAACAGTTCGAAACCTTTATATTGTAGCGTAAGTTGACCTTTTTCCATCACTGACTGTTGTTGTTTTTTTGTTTTTGTTTTTTTGCAGTGAGGCCGACTTTGACCCTGATTCCTATAAAATCCCTTTTGTTGTAATGTCTCTGAGCACACTAGCCTCAGAGGTCCACAGTCTGTTGCAGTCACATCAGGGCACACTTCCACTCCTCAGGTAAGAACTGGTTTATTACCTGTTACGTGTACGCATTTTTAACGTTAGAATATATTTTCTGTCGTTATAAAGTTATTAAAAAGTTTAATTTCCATTTAGTTTTCCAGACTGTTATGCAGCAAAATTCAGACCACTTCAGCTTGGCAATGAGTCACTGGAAGGTGGTGTTCCTCTGGAGCACCTCGTCACCTGTGTTCCCAGTATCACAGTAGTCACAGCTCAAAATGGTTTCAAAGTCATCAAGTGGATCAACAATAAACCTCCGGTGCCAAACTCTGGTAGGTATATTTACAAATCTGGTTTTTATTGGAGTTTCATTTTCATTTTTCATAGTGCGGTTCAGACCTCTCATCTTGGGTGTGTTTTGGGGGTTTTTTTTGTTGGTTTTTTGTTTTAAACTCTTTAACCATCTGATATGAGTTCTTGTAAAGTTATCAGGCAGTTTGCGTTTAGCTCAGGCAGCCCATTTCACCTTAACAATTTATTTTATTTTATTTTTAAATTGTCACACAGAGCCATGGATTCAACGCTGCAAGAGTCCAGTCGGCAATCCACAGCTCATCCAGTTTAGCCGAGAGATTATTGACCTCTTAAAAAGTCAGCCGTCATGCATAATGCCAATCAGCAAATTCATTCCCTCATATCATCATCACTTTGCCAAGCAGTGCCGCGTCTCCGACTACGGCTTCTCTAAGCTGCTGGAGCTCCTCGAGGCTGTGCCACATGTTCTGCAGGTACTTTTAATGAGGACCACCCAGTGATGATCTTCCGATTGAACAATGTATTTGTTCATGTTGTCTTTGTTCATGTTGTCTTTGTTTATTTTATACGTTTTTCATTTTTCTAACCAACAGATCTTGGGTATGGGTACAAAGCGTTTACTGACTCTAACTCACCGAGCTCAAGTTAAACGCTTCACCCAAGACCTGCTTAAACTGCTTAAGTTTCAAGCCAGCAAACAAGTGGCAATCAAGGACTTCATGCAGGCATACCATTGGTAATTAAACATAAATAGGACACGTGTGTTAGTTTCATAGGAGCGGAAAAACTGTTTGAATTATTAGTGGTGTGGGTGCTGTAATGCATTCTTTTGTGAATCAGGTGCTTCTCCAGAGACTGGAGAGTAACTGACTATGGGATATGTGACTTGATGGATCTGCTGACGGAGATCCCTGACACCACCATCACCATCACACAACAGCCCACCGACACAGTCATCTCAGTTCCTAAGAGGGGTGAGTGCATAACTGTCAATTTGGAAGTAGAATTTAAAAGCGCATTAGACTTGAGTTTAAAAAAGGATCTACTTACCTGCAGAAACTGTTAACCAGAGAAACCGTATTTTATTTTAATGATGCATTTCTTTTTGGTTGCCTATCACTAAAGTAGTTTTCTTTTTTTCTTTACTAGAGCGTACTATGGAAGAACTGGAGCGTACCAAGCAGTTTGGGAAGGAGGTGGTGGACCTGCTTCGCCACCAGCCTCACTGTCGAATGCCCTTCAGCAAGTTTATACCAACTTACCACCACCACTTTGGTCGCCAGTGTAAGCTCAGCCACTATGGGTTCACCAAGCTCATTGAGCTCTTTGAAGCAATCCCTGATGTCCTGATGGTGAGTGTGGCGTGCAGTAGGTTTTTGCTTTTGGCCAAGGCGATGCACGACGATCGAATCACTTCCAGTATGTACACAGCATAAGAAGTTTTGCCAGCATCAGTCACAGTGAACTGATGCTGCTTTGGTGATGAGACTTCTGGGAACGAATGGCATGGGGTTATTTTTCACTTAAGAGGATTTGCCATGCCTTTTGATTTCAGTCAGTGGATCAGGCCAGGTTTCTTTTTCCTGCATCTCCCTTGAGTGCTTGGATAGAACTGTCTTTGTAAATATAATTATGATGTCTGGGACTCTTGGTCTTCATGAAAAACAAACTTACCATTTAATGCCCTCGTCCTTCATCAGGTGCTGGAGTGCGGTGAGGAGAAAGTGCTGTCTCTCACTGAGGTTGAACGTATCAAAGCTCTGGCAGCTCAGCTGGTCAAGCTGCTTCGGGCTCAGAAAAACTCCAGTCTGCCTGTGAGTCAGCTGCTCACAGAGTACAGCAAAACCTTTGGTTACGGGCTACGCCTGCAAGACTTCGACGCAAGCTCCCTGCCTGCTCTGCTGACCAAACTCTGCCATGTTGTCAAGGTAAAGAAGAAAACATCCCCAGGGGAAGCCGTGTAAATCTATCTGCTGAAAAGCTCGCTGTTGCTTAGTTTAATAAAATAATAAAAATAGAGCTTCACTTGACAGTCAGATGTTTTTTGTAAAGGCAGAAGCATGTGGTCATGTCTGCTAAAAATAAAATTAATAGATTTGTTGTTTCAGGGGTTTTGTCTTCATTATAAATTAGCCAGTTTATTAAATGCACAAAATGAAGTCTCGCACAAGTCCTGTCAGTCATCCTGGAGGTTATAAAGTTTTTAAAATCACAGTAAACGGTAAAAAGTCTCATTTCATATAACTTAAGAATATCTGAAAATGTGTCTTAACTACCCACTTTGTGCATTTCTGAAAGGTGGTGGATGGCGCGGATGGTCGGGAAGTGCAGCTGATCAACAGGAAGTCTCTGCGCTCTCTGACCTCACAGCTACTGGCACTGCTCATGTCCCAAGAAGATGAGAACATCACCAAAGGTTTGAAGGTGGAGGAGCTGAGCCAGTATTACCTAAGCGTTCACGGAGTTGCGCTAAACCCATGTGAATATGGGTTCCTTTCTCTCAGCGAGTTACTGAAGAGCCTTCCATACCTGGTCGAGGTGAGTACGAGAGTTTTCTTTGGGTTTTTTTTTTTTGTTTGTTTGTTTTTTTTCAATACTTTTACTGTGCTTGATCCATAATCATCATCTTTTCACAGCTGTACCACGAGGAAACTGATGATACCACTCAAGCTGCCAGCAGTCATGGGGAAGAATTTGTGAGGCTAACCAGGCTTTACCAGTTTGCTCGTAATGTACGCGCGCTGCTCCACACCTACCATTACAACCAGATCTTCCTGACTGAGTTCCACGGAGCATACAACAAATTCACAGGCTGCAGCCTTGATCCACGTTTCTGTGGGTACACCAGCGTTGATGAGCTGCTCAGTGCGATTCCACAGGTATAGTTACTGCAGTAGAGACTGGAGCTCCTCTGTAAGGAATCATTCTAAAACATGAACAGGCTTTCATTCAGATTTGCACCTTATATGTGACATGGACTTATGTGTGCATATGAGTGTGGACTCCCAAACAGCTTGTATTTGTTTCTCTCCTTCAAAAACTCAGCTCCCTCTCAAGAATCTCCTTATGTGGATGAATTAATCTTTAATGGTAAATGGCCTGCATTTGTATAGCGCTTTTCTAGTCCATAGGACCCCAAAGCGCTTTACACTACATTCAGTCATTCACCCATTCACACACACATTCACACACTGGCGATAGCAAGCTACATTGTAGCCACAGCTGCCCTGGGGCGCACTGACAGAGGCGAGGCTGCCGGACACAGGCGCCACCGGGCCCTCTGACCACCACCAGTAGGCAAACACGGGGTTAGTATCTTGCCCAAGGACATTTGGCATCTTTACCTGCTGATGATAGTAGTCCAAGTTCTGAACTCAGCTTAGTAGTTCAGGGCATATATGAAGTAGTTCTCCACCTGCTGCAGGTTCTGGTGAGATTGGACCTCCAGTTTGTAGGAGACGGACTAATGTCACCAGCACCGTCTAAGATGGTGGAGCTTGAGTCAAAAATCCATTTTAGGGAAGGTTATAAATATTAAATATCACCGTATGGCAACCGGACAAGAACGCTATATAGTGGGGGAAAAATGCAAGACAGGAAGAGCAGTTCACTAGTAAAGGGATGGCACATGGTTGTGTTCATAGTAGAAAATATTCTTAACCTTATACACTTTGGTGGCTGATAATAGACATGGGCAACCAGCCCAAGTAATCTTTGTGTGGGCAACACTGATCTAAATAAACTCTTAAACCTTTTCTCTATTGATCGCTTTTGTTAATGTCCTGAACTTTTGTGATAATTGTTTATTTCTATCAGTTCTCACCATTCAGTTTCTGATTTGTTCTCATCAGGTGATCTGGATCAAAGGGCATGGTCACAAGAGGATTATCGTTTTGAAGAACGATATGAAAGGTAAAGGTGTTGGGAGTCTTTCTTATTGAAAGTTCAGATTGAACTTTAGGTTACTGACATGCTCCACTGTGCTGACTGAAGTGATCAAACTAAAAGGTGATTTTTGGGTTGTGATTTCATGAGATGGCGGCTGTGCATTGTAAGAAAATTGTAATTAAAGTGCTTTGTCTGTGTGTTGTAGCAAAACCAAGCTGTTCAGTCTCCAACAGCCCCCAGCCGGAGAACACTGAGAGCCCGAGAGACAGCCCGATTAGCAGTGCAACATCTGGAGCTCAGAGTCCAGGTAATGGAAGTCATACATAACTGCTCAAGGTTTTTGTAGTCTTTAAAGATATACTGAAGAAAGGCAGGAGTTCTGAAATAAGCTTTTTCTTAGCTTTACAAAAAAAATCATGGTGAAAAAAGCTCAATGCCTTTTTTTTCAGTTTTCAGTTTTTTTGATGTTGCATCATCCTCTCCTCCTCTTAATTGGCTATTGTTGAGACCTCGTGTGTTGGCCAGCCTTTTTAATTGATTTTATTTTGTTTTACCTTCCAGGTGCTGATGCAGCTGCCGAGTCAGAGCTGCTGTGTCTGTCGTCTCCAGTGGACCTGCTGTGTGGCCCTGTTCCATCCTGCCTACCGTCGCCTCAGCTTCACCCCGACCCCGTTGTCGTCCAGCAGGCGGATCTGATTCACTTTGAGGAGAGAACTCCTCCACTACCAACAGGTGGTCCATCTGATTTATACTGTTTTTGTGGTATAAAATTAAAAGGCTCAGTCTTATTTGCACCTTTTCCATCTGTAGTTAAGTGTGAGCTTGTTTGTTTGTATTGTTTGAACATGTGGTGGCACTGGCAGACGTCACAGCTGATCTACCTGCAAAGCGTGATGGCAGCACAGATGACTCTGCAGACCCCAGAGAACCACCACCACCACCTGACACAAAGACCCTCCTGTCCATGGACAGTCCCAGCAGAAGAGCTTCACGTAGTAGAATCAAATTAGCAGCCAACTTCTCATTCACGGCAGGCCTCTGATCCTCTCATATATACACATACAGTCTCACATACAGCAATACAAGTTTACATACAGTGTAACTCTAAATAAAAGAGTTGAACGGCTACACTAAACACATAACACAGAAGAGCATTGGTCTTGACCCTTTGTCCTAACAGGCTGTTGCATTCTGCATTCTTCGTCATCACATTTGTGCCATTTTAGTTAGTTTTTGGTTTGTTTTTTCAGTTCAGTCTTCTAAGTTCACCAAACTGATTTGCTTCTTGCAGACTTTCTGCAATTCTGATTTGCCAAATGTCATCTGCTCTAACGTGTGTTTAGTTTCCTCCCAAGGGCAATTAATATCCATGAATGTGCATTTTCAGTTTAGAGCCATATTGTGTTGAACACTTTCAGTGAATGAGCTGAGTTTGTTGTCACTGTGAACAAAGTGGTAGAAAACAATGGGAGAAATGCTAGGGATGAGTAACTAGGTTTTCTGTATTACATCAAAGAAGTGTAGGTATTCACTGTTTACAAAAATACACGAAGGTTTTTAAAGAGATTTTTGTTAATGAACCACATTGAGAAACCTTCATAAATACTTCCTTGCTTTATCTCCAAGATATAAAATTTCATTTAGAACTTTCTTTGTAGCTTACCCCAGATATGTTGACCCAAACTAGCAGCTGAAGCATCCACCTGTTTCTTTCAGGTTTCTAAAGAAATTGCTTTTTAATCAGATATTCTTCTGTATTTTGTCTGTGTAAGGAAGTAGCCTCAGCATAGAGTTCAGTTCCTTTTTGTACTGTGTAGAGTATTTGGTCACCGGTAGAAGAGTTTGGCTTAAATGTGTAGCGGATTGAGTGGCAATTAAATGCTGGGACTAAAGAGAAGCCAGGTCTTAACTGTTAAGACTGTGTTGTGGAAGCTGTCGGTCTTTGAACAGTTTTGGTTTTGCAACAATTGCTGCTCTCCGGAACTTTTATTGTTGTATGTTCACTTAATTTATAGCAAAGACTTTGGCTTGTGTCTTCAGGGCCTCTAACGAAGGCCTCAAAAGTTATTAAAAAGAAAAAAAAAAAGGCACTTCAGTATTTCAGCCATGAGCGTGCTTAGTCAGCAGAAACTGACTTAAGCTTTGTCTTTAGTCAGCAGCCGGGGTGTGTGTGTGTTTTGTTTTAGTATTTTGTCTGTGTGTGTGTGGTTTACACTGGAGTAGGTGGTGTGAAATGTGTATGTTGTGCATAACTGAGTTTATGCATGGTGTAATTCCAGGAGAAGCAGAGGCAAACAGAAGGATTGTAAAGACGTTTTTTTAAGACCAGTCTTTATTTCCACCGTGATGTTTAGATCCCAGAGTTGGCATCACCCCATGCAGCTGCTGTATACTGTAAGTGCTCAAGGTTTGTTGCTTTAACCTTGGAGCTGGTCGCCGCTGTATCACTGGTGATCCACTCGGTCTGAGATCTTGAGGGGAGCGGTGAGCACTCCTGAGCTTATGATTTTTAATGAGACTGAATAGTTGAGTTTTTAGGGAAAGAAGGTGATCGGTGATGGGTTTGAGGAACAGCATAGGGGGCTCTGGGAAGCCTCCTGAACAGATTGATGTGCACACAGAGGCCCCTCTGAGGCTCTCTGGAATCTGCCGGGCTTTTACAATGGTTTGTATCTGCCCCGGTGCTGAAAGGACTCACCATCTTTACCTCCCCACCCACTTTAATAGCAGTTTTAACTTACTGTTGTGGGTTAGTTTTCTCAAATTTCGTTTGTCTTGAGCATTTACCAGGCTGCTGGCTACTGAATTGCCACCAAACAATGTTGACTGCCTGTGACGTCGAGCACGACCAGGGTGCCACTGAAGTCAGAGGGTTGAAGCTGTTTTTGTTCAGAGAAAAGTTTAGAGAATGGGCAGCAGCCCATTTAATCAGTTAGTTTGCGTTCTCTGCCTGTTTAGTCAGTGTTCGAAGCATAACATGAGTCTTTCTGTCAGACATGAATTGAAAGATTTCCCCTAACAACTCACCAAAATGTCTGACATACAAATCAAAATGATTTTAATTATGGCTGTTATTGTTTATCTCTCCTGCAGGGTTTTGTTGACTGTCTGGAAGCCACTTTGATTAAAGACTCATTGGTTCAAAATCATTATTTAGAAGTGGTAATGATAGAAACGAGCTTAAAATGCGTACGAGAAATGAAGACATTACTTTTTAGTGAATTTGAGCAAACCCTAGCAGCTCCTCGGTGTACTGCAGTGACAACTACCTCTGATTTTATTTCGTTTTCACTTTGATTCAGTTACATCAATGAAAGGCTCTTATACCAGTCAACATATGCACTTATGCATAGTTTTGGTTTAATGAATGCGAGGCGTTTGCATGGTGGTTTAAACAAGTTTCTTCGTTGCCTGTGTATCTCACCTTGTCTTACTTTGAACTTTAATATTGCACATTTGTTGTTCTTCTCTGATTTATTCAGCAGTGTCCTTTAACCTTTTTTTCTTTTTAAACTGCCCAACTAATTTCCCCCTCCCCTTCCTTGTACTGCACTGTTTTACCACTGTGCTGCACCTAAAGTTGCTGTAACAGTCACATTGTTGAAGGGACCAAAAAAGATTTGCGTTAATAAATTTCACAAGCATCATTTCTGCCTCTTCTCATTATTCAAACATACACACAGTGAGTTCCTGAAAGATGCTCTTTATTTAAACATATATGTACAGGTAGTTTCAGCTTATTTTCTGCATATTTGTTCAATACTTTGACATTAGGACCTTCATAAATCCACTACAACTACAGAATGCTAAGTTATCAGAACAAAGGTAAAGTGACAGAGAGCAACACTTTGCTTGACATGAGTCACACTAAAGTCCTAAATACACTCAAACACACACACCATCTATTGGAGGCATTTACAGCAGAGTTGCATTCATTTCCTGGAGTTTATCATTTTAAAAATGCAAGACTTAAGTTCAAAGGATGCATGTTGTTTCTCTGCAATATCCAGAATGATGATGAATGATGTCTCACTACCACAGTGAACACTTCCTGGCAGCTGATGATGCAGATCTTAATATGGCCTCTGATGTGCTGATTTTGGGAGGAGGGTAAATGTGATGATGGAAGATCAAGTGTTGGCATATACAGGCATTAAAGTCATCATGAAAGGGGTTCCTGAAAACTATAAAGGTGAGTCATTAGGCTGGATGCTAGTTGGCACTCTCTATAAATTGTGTTGGAAAAAGTTTAGATGCATTTTTGTTCCAGTTTTATTCTACTACCATCTATAACATTTGATTTAGAGGACTCCCCAGAACACCTCAAGATGTAAATGGATTTTTTTTTTATCTCAAAATGAATTGTAAACTTTTCTCCCATCATATTTTCATTTAAATGTTGTTCTGATATATAAGAGTTTTCTTTTGATGATTCTCTGTGATCTCACTCCAGATTGGATAGAGAAAACTGTCCTTTTGAAGACTTCTAGAAACATAATTGGACCTCTCCTATAGGACGCACATTGCTAACTAGCACTGAGCCCAATATAAGCTCATTTTTAATCTGGTTTCCACTGATGCCGTGCTGCATAGAGCCTTTGCGAACCAGCTGACATTTCCACAGGTTTGAGAATGAACCGGATGCTATATAGCAAAGGTTGGAGTAATTTCAGTGGGGTGGGGGGTACTGTGGACAGAATCTGCAGGTGAATAATCTCTATATTTCTTGTATCTCCACCCTGACGTTAGTGGTTTCAACTTCCGGCTTGGCAACAGTATTGTATCAGATTTTTGGCACTGACTTCAGTCTCTGTCATACAGAACCAGTTCAACACGGGCACTGGCAGCACGTCAGTGGAAAAGAGGCAACTTAGTTTGTTCAGCATTAAGTCTTTGTTTAATTTGTAAATGCCTTAAGAATTAAACTGCTGTTTGATAATATTGCTCAGCACTTGTAGAAAAAATCATCCACTGGCTCCCTCTCCTCATTAGCATATATAAATCAGTTTGCATAAGTCCCTTGGCAGGGAGCCATATTGTTTTTCAGAGCCACTTGTGTTTGTCCCACCTGGGGAAAATGATAAAATGTAGCAACTGAGAGATTCACTGGTTGGATTTTAAGCACTAAATGAATGAATACCCGTCGTCAGACATCAGCTTTTCCCTTCCTGTCAGAGAACCCCAGCATTCAGTTCACTTTATGGACATTGTGCTTGTAGCTCTGCAGATGAGATCCATCCTCATTGAACCTGTCATGATGGAATTAACCAATCTGAAAACTGACTGAATAAATAAATCAACACTTTCAACATAGTTTTTATTTACAGTTCTCTTCACAGCTTCCTTTCCCTTTATTTCATGGTCTTGGTTAAAAGCTCCTTACTATAAAAGTTTCCCTTAAATACCGACCGGGGATCAGCTCCCAACCTCTTGCAAACTAAGCTACGAATCTGATACCTGAACAGTTTCGTGGTTGACTGCGACTCTCCGAGTAACAGGAAGTGATGTACGTCATGTCGTGTGATGTAAGTGCGGTGTCTGACACAGGGTCGGGGCCATAAGCAGGTTTGGGTCAGTTACATTACAGCACACTGGGTGGCTCCGCAGCAGTCCTTAATGATGGCCGCTCCTGACTTGGTGATGGATGGCTTGTTGGGAGGCGGCTCAGGGATTTGTCTCTTGGGCTTTGGAGGATCTTGTCGTAAAGGGAGAGGGAAAAAAAGAGACATAATCACATACAATGCTCTTGTCTCTTTAAGATGGTGTGCATGAGTTATTTTTAACCTCTCACTCACTCTGTGTGACTTTGAGCTTCTGTTCCAGAGGCATCAGCTTCAGCCTGAGGAACTCCGCCATCTCTTTGTCCTCCTCCTTTTCCCTGAGGTACAAAACATCCACATCTTAGTCTGAATGAAATTCAGAAAATGTCTGCTTTTATCTGACTGAAGCAGCACTACTGGACTGACTGACTGACAGGACAGCATGGCTGCGCCACAGTTTTTGGTATTTTCAAATCTGGGGGGGTATTTTGTTTTAAGAGACTACCAACTTTTAAAATTCCTTCGTCTGTTCATTTCAAGCTCTGCATTTTTCTTCTTAATCTCTATTAGAGTGAGCACACATGCTTTACAGTTCAAGACAATCCTCATCTTATAGTGGGCCTTGGTGAAGCCTACTGTCTGAAACAACCAGGGTTTTTTTTTATTACTTTGAGCAACTACAGACTTATCTTTCATAAAAACAGGCTTCATCTCTGTTACTCCCCTTCCTTTGTGCAGACTTTGATCTAACTGGCTGCCACGTGGTCAGCCAGAATCATATCAGGGTTATCCACTCTCACTGCCTACATACACTAGTGGAACATATATACTTGTTTTGAAGCTTTGGAGTCAGTTCAGCTCCTTCCTGTCTTTATCCGACTATGTATGAACACTTTCTGTCTCTTTCTATTCTATTTGTCACTTTCTCCTTCTTGCCTCTTTTTCCCACTCTGTCAAAATCGCTTCTTTCACTCTTTTGACATCACTGTACTTGTCATGTTATCTTTCTGCTCACACTCTTCAGGTCAATCACTCTCTGCTCCTTCTGTCAGTCTTCCTTTTCAGACCTACCAACGTTTAACCTCCTCAATCATCACTTCATCCTCCTAGATGCCAAAGTTTCCATGACTTTACTAATAATAATGGATTGGATTTATATAGCGCTTTTCAAGGCACCCATTCACTCTCACATTCACACACTGGTGGAGGCAAGCTATGGTTGTAGCCACAGCTGCCCTGGGGCAGGCTGACAGAAACGAGGCTGCCATCGGCCCCTCTGGCCAACACCAGTAGGGTAAAGTGTCTTGCCCAAAGACACAACGACCAGGACAGAGAGGCTGGGGATTGAACCGGCGACCTTCTGGTTACAGATGCGCTTCCCAACCCCCTGAGCTACGGTCGCCCAACTACATCAACTCCACCAGTATCTGGACTCACACTAGTCCAAAAGAAATCTGTCAAATACAGTCCAGACCCGATCAGCTGACAGCTAAGCTGAGAATATTTTGAGCGCCTCTTCCAGAACAGAGCTACGCTGCTAAACATGAATTACTGCTCAGTGAAATAATAATCCTTGGACTACAGTGGTCCTGAATTAACTATAATTAGTTTAGTAATAAAATGTAAGCTCTACTGAGCACATTTTATATATCCAATATTTCTGTTTTCAAAGCAGTCATGAGCTCTTGTAACCTTCAAACTGCAATAAAATATGAAGATGAAGAAATCAACAAATAATCCATTTTTTCTGTTAATTTCACTTTGAGGCGGAGGTCAGTTTTAAATATATTTAAAGACAAAAAGAGGCGAAAAAAGAAAACCGATACTTGGCTGGAATACAGAAGCCAGAGAGGCATAATAAAAAAATTTTCTGTCCTTCTCTGGTCTACATTTTGACGTTTTGGTCATCAGGATCTATAAATGTGCTTTCATCCTTATTGAAGTACAAATTAAGATTATTATTAGGTTCTGTATCTGCTCTGTCTTTCAGACACTTAATCATGTATCTCACTAAATTATATTAGGAAGGAGCTTGCTCTGCACCCTTGTTGGCTACCATTTAGTTTTGTACAGGACTTCAAACACTCAACAAAATGACATCTGCTGACCTAAATGAGAATTTTTGTTTCAATATGCTTCCTCTGAACAAATTTATAGGAAATATAGAAACATACACTCGCCAGCCACGCCATTATTGATGCCTTACTAGTAACATTATGGAACCTCTTTTGCCTTAACAACTGTTTTAATTCTTGTAGCACAACAAACAGCTTGTCAACATGATGCTCAGAGATTTTGGTCCATATTGACATGATGGCATCACACATCCATGATGCTATCACATCCCAGGGGTGTTTTTTTGGACTGAGATCGGGTGACTGCAGAGACAATTTGAGTAAAGTTCAGGAAATCACGGTAAGCAACAATACTCGGGTGACGTGGCATTTTAAACCATGTTTAATTAGTACTAATGGCCCCGAAGTATCATAAAAATATCCCTCACATCATTACATAACCAGCAGCAGCCCAACTGACAATCTGTAGCCTCAGATTCCTGCTCTTAGGTGACAGTAGTGGCACCTGGTGTGGTCTTCTGCTGCTGCAGCTCATCTGCTTCAAGGTTCAATATGTTGTATGTTCAGACATGTTCTTCAGCATAGTGTTGTAACAAGTTATTATTTGAATTACTTTCGCCTTCCTATGAGCCTAAAGCAGTCTGGCTATTGACCTCGGGCTTCAGCAAGGCATTTTGGATATCTTCTCAATAAACTCTAGAGATGTCTGTGGGGGAAAACTCCCAGTAGACCCAGTAGACTGTAAAATTAAAGATTTATCTTTGCAGCTCTGTTACCTGAAATTAAAGAGAACACACGATTGGACGTAATCTAATGCTACATGTGGCATTGATTTTGATAGAAGATAATCACTTTTAAGACTCTTTGGTTGTGACTCAGTACTGTCACAAAAAATGATTATAATGACACCGAAATAACCCAGAACAATCTGAAGGCACAGTTTCAAAATTAATCTTTTGAGTCCCACAGACATTTGTTCACGCTGTGATTTAAACCCATTATCTTGCCTATCTGAAAGTTATCTCTGTGTCA